GTGCCTCTTTTAGTTCTTAATTTTTGAAAAAAATTTAATATTTTAAAATAATAAAAAATAAATTAAGAAATTAATATTTTAAAACAGAAAGAATATATATATTTTTTTATATCACTGACATGATGCTGATGACCTTTTGACTACTTGTTGATGTTTTGTTGGTATTCAAATTTGTTTTGGTCACACATTTTCATAGTATAAGTTGTAGTAGCATTGCCATTATTGCATGCTGTGTCGGTAAAATAATAATGCAAAAACTAGTAGTCCCTCTTCCACCGACATTGTGATTCTTGTTGAAACAACTTGAATAATATTGGTTAATTCTTATTTTATCTTAATAAAAAATGATAGGAATCATAAAAGAATATTTCAAAATTTACTTTGAAAGTAGGATATATAGTGTAAATTTAAAATTAGTGTGATGTGACAGTCAATTAATTTACTTTTCGGATAATTTTATTAATACATTGTTTGAGTATCTAGTTTTGTTTGATTGAATTGTTAACCATCTACAAGCTTCTTTTCAAATTTATTTAAAAAACATCCCTATTTCTCAAATTACGTGTATTGTGACTAAGCATGTGTTTTGTTTTCAAATTTTCTTGTTTTGAAGTTAGATTTAGAATTGAAATCTATTAAAATTTGAAATGTAGAGAAAGTGTGATTGCTAACAATGTTTTTTTATTTTTATTTTAACATTGGCAATCATATTTTCATTAGTTTGAATAAAATAGAAAATTAAGAAGTATGGTTGATACAAAAACCACATTACTAATTATCCATACTTTCATGAAAACATGCTTACTAACCAGACTTTATGGTTTGAGAAATAAGTTGAAAAAATTCCAATTTTTTTAAAAATAAATTTTGAAGGAAGATATTATGGTATGAAGCCGGATCTATCACTATTAAAAGGACAAAAATCTACTGCATATAGTTCGATATGATACATAACAATTGATATTTATTTAATAATATTTGTCAATTCTTATCTTAAAGGTGGTCGTTAATTGCGGGGCGAGTACCGGGAAGAACTGACAACCAAGTAAAAAATCATTGGAACACTCATTTGAGCAAGAAGCTCGGAGTGAAAAAAGAGATAACCAAACTGGGAGCTTCATCGCAAACAATCTCTACCAAATTAATAGAGAGTGATAGTGTCCCCATGCATGCAAGTTCGAATCCGCCTTCTGATAGCAATATTAGAGTTGAAGAGCAAAAGGTGGACGACGATGGTCACCAGAGTAATGTTGGATTCTTGGAAGTGGAAGATCAAAAAAGAATAAATGAGAGTTATGAAAGTCCTTTTTGGTTTCCAGATGATGATCTTAGATTAAGCACCCCTAGTTTAATGGAAATCTTAGATGAGTATTCTTTTGATTTTGTTTGGCATAACTTATAAACTTTCTTCTTTGCAATCATTTTCCTGAATGGAATCTTTATTAGTCAATCTTTTTTATGTGTATGTCTGTGGGTGATAATCTCTTCAAATAATCATATTGATTGTCTCCTAAAAATGGTTAATTAGATGGACACCCTTTCAATTATCATACAAATATGAATTTATTTTTTATAATTTTAAAATTGTATATTTAGACCATGCAACCATAAAAGATTGCGGAAATATTTTTTTTAAAGGAGTTAAAGTGATATAAATTTTATGATTGAGAGATTGAATATGTACAATTTTAATTTGTTTTTTGAAGTTGTAAAAATAAAATAATATTCAGTGATATTTGAATTAACCAAAAAATATATTCCAACTTGATGTTTTATTTTTCTTTTGTCATTTCCTTTTCTCTCTCTCATGTAAGGGTTATTTGTGTCTTTCACTTTTCACGTCAAGGGTATAATTGTTATTGTAAAATTTAGACTCAGTTAATCAATGGTAAAATTTCAATATAAAAATAAATACCAAATAATGTTCAACTCTTCTTTTATTTTTATTTTTATTTTTATTTTTTTGGAAAGGGAGTATTTACAACTATAAGAAATATTTGTATCATCAATTAGACTAAGACTACTAGCTCAAAAAGTTAACAAAACCTAATACAACCAATATACTATCACTACAAATGATATCAAACTCTTCTCTATAGAAATTAAATATGAAATTTCATACTACAAAGGGTGTTACACAATCACTAGGCCAAATGCCTTTATTGATATTCAACTTAAACCTTAAAAAAAGATCTTATTATATTAATACTTTTTGTATTAAGGAAATGGAGCTTTTTTTAATAAATTCCATTTCTAGGAGTTCTATTCCGTCTAACCCAAAACATTTTTGAGTATTCTATTAGCCAATTTGATGTAATAAGACCAAATAGCTGTCCCGCTTGTATTTCCATTCATGAATTAAAACCCAATCACAACACTCCTCTTTTATCATTTCATATTTTACGTAGTAAATCTCTCATTCCCCAAACACTCACCATTGTCTCTTCAAAACCTTAGGTTTAGTCGTCTCTCCTAAACCTTAGGTTTCATCACATTGCCCGTCCACTATGCTACCATCATCCTACTATCACCAAATCATTGCCGTCGACTGAAAATGTAGGCCGAAGTGACTGTTGGAACAATCTTCTGTATAAAATAAATAACTTGAAATAAATCAAACAAATAAAAATAAATTATTTACAGAATTTATTTACCGAAATGAATAAGTACAAAAATAGATCAAGTCGAGTGTGTGATACTCTGTCCTTAAGACAGATTCGCTCTACTTCGGTGCTTACGAGCAAATGGTGTTTATTTCCAAAGATACAATGATCTACACAAATTGTAGTAGCACTCCAAACAATCTGTATGACGAACTAGAACTTGTGTTCTATACTTTCAGAAATTTCCCTAAAAACTAGTATGGAGAATAATAATGCACGAGAGCAAAATAAGAGGCAAGCAAAGAAATTTCGAAATGTTCCAACTGCTGGAAACGTCCTGGTATTTATAGGCATATTGGAGACCCTTTGGAATGGCCGAACAAGGAGGATCTAAACCTGAACAGGTTTGAATTCAAACTGGAACATGTGCAAAACAGTTTTATATCTGTCTGGGAACAAATTGAATCTGTCCAGAACTGTTGGGCAGTTTTAAACCTGTTTAGATAGTTTAATTTGTTGGAGAATTGGATCAGAGGAGGCAAAGTTTTGGACAAAAATTGAATTCAAATTTGGCACAAAATTTGAATTAATTTCATTTAGAAAAAATAATTTTTCTCACAAGAATTTTTGGAAAAAATTCAAATAAATTTTTTTTAAAAAAATTGATATTAGAACCGACCCACAACCTACACCTGGCACGACTCAACTTAGCCCGGTCGGCCGGTTGAACGGCGGCAGCGGCATGCGCGCGTGTGTGGCGGTTTGGGCCAAGGCCCACTTTGTCCATGACTCCTTCCTTCTACAAACTTGGGGTACCCTTTGGAGCCTAACCCAAATATTCCCACCTAGAACTTATATATACACATAAATTCTCTTTAAGTTTCAATATGGGATAATCCATTTCAAGGAAACCCACTTTTGACTCTTTAATTGTCTATTTCACGAACCCGAAAACGACGTCAACTTCCTATGTACTCATAAATGGTTTTGACAAACCGTTTGCACTGTGTGACTTGCCATATGGCAAGAAACACATCACCTTTTTGGACCCACCCCAAAAGACGTGTGGGACCCACTCAAATTTGGCCCAAAATAAGCCTATAAAAATCATAAATTCCAACAATCCCTCACATGAATGGAATTTGACGGAGAAAAAATGCAACAACATGATCTAATTATTGAGAGTATAGAAATTGGAAATATTCTGCAAAGGATAGGTAGCTTTTGGCTTTAAAACCTTCCCTTGTGAGACACTATCAGATTTACTAGCTAACTAGAGAACATGATGTCTTGAACTGTTCAGCCATTTGTGTAAACCAAGACAATAGAACTCATATAGTATATTACCAGACACAGTTTAGTTCTCACTATTGTGTTCATTTTGGCCCTGAACAACCTGGTCTTTCATGAGTGCTCTAGAGAATTGCAACCCTTCACAAATCTCATAGAATCGGCCCAATTCACACTCACATAGATGATTCTTATGAAGAGTATCCTGCCATACTTCACTAGGTATTCCTAGCTATAAGAATCATTAAAAGTATTGCTTAACCTAAAATACTGAGACATCACTATTTCATCATAGAAATGGATATGAGTTTGACTCCCTAGTGATCCTTGTGAGTCATACACAACTCGGTTGTCCCTTTGAACCTAGATCTTGGGATCTCTAGTCAACTAGGTTGGATTGCCGTTGTGGTAACTCTTATTTAATAGGCTTAACTCTCTTGCTAACCCTTTGTTTTAGTGGATTCGCTATGTTGTCTTTAGACTTCACATATTCAATAGAAATAATTTCATTAGAGAGTAGTTGTCTCACGGTGTTATGTCGACGACGAATGTGTCATGACTTACCGTTATATATATGACTCTATGCTCTACTTATTGCTGATTGACTATCACAATGTATGCATATAGCAGACACCGGCTTTGACCACATTGAAATATCTTCAAGGAAGTGACGAAGCCATTCTGCTTCTTCTGTAGCTTTATCTAAAGCTATAAATTCTGATTCCATAATAGACCTAGCAATGCAAGTCTGTTTAGAAGATTTCCAAGATATATCTGCCCCACCAAGAGTAAAGACATACCCACTTGTGGCAACCCAACTCTGGATTATGCTAATTAATCTTAATTATGCTTATAATTATGAGCTTGATATGATTTCGAATGCTAATTATATGATTATATGTGTTTGTGAATTTATATTTGTTCACCGTAGGAAAATCTATTTGACTTTCTGTTATAAAATTTAAATTGAAGGCAGTGGAGGTGACAAAAATTGAAATTGGCTGTGTTTTTGCATTCAACACGATTTTTAGAGCATATGGCGAAATTTAATTAGAAATTGATTTGGATCAAAATAATTAAATCGAATTGATTAATTTAGCACAATTACGTAGCCTTAATCAAATTTGATTAAGGCAAGCATATATAAAGGCCTAAATACACTTATACTCATTCCTTGGGAGCTCAAGAACCTGAAATAGGCACTCTAGAGAGAGAGTGAGCCGAATTTAGAGAGAGAAAGAGGCCAACATTGAAGATTTTGCAAGGGGATTGGAGAACTAAGTGGATTAGCTCAAGATTTAGCTATATTTGAGAGGATTGAAGCCTCTAGGTGAGCAACTAACCTCTAATTCATGAGTTTAAGCTTAAAATTATGTGAACTCAAGAGAATTGGTAATCAAAAACAAGATTTGAATGGTGTATGATGAAATTGAAGGCAATATATATCCATGCATGTAAGAATTTTCATGAACTTGTATAAATTGGCATGAGGCATGTTGAATATATAGAATTGAGTGTCAAATTACACATGCATGCATAATTTTGTTAAACCTCAAGATTTTGATCATCATTTGTATCATTTTACATGAGATTGGAGTCTATATTTCACAGGCATGAATTATCCTTGAAGATATGAAGTTTGGTAGCTTGTGTTATGAAGTTGTCAAGAAGAATGTGAAATGATTTGGGATTTGGACCATGGTTTTGGGCAAATTAGACTCAATTTGCCTATGTTCTCATGTTATATAATGTTTTCCATGTTTTTGTACTAAAAATGTGAGTTTTGAGCTTTTGGAATCAAGTTATGAACTTCAAACACAGTTTCGGAAAACCCAGAATTCGACTTGTCCGCTCGAGTGAGGAAAGTGTCACTTGAGCGTGAAAGTCGAGCTCCTAGAAGTTTTGCAGAGTTTTGCACTGTGGCTCGAGCAGCAAACTCTACGCTCAAGTGAGCTCTATTTTGCAAAATTCCTCGCTCGAGCGTCGAGAATCTCGCTCAAGCGTGAATTACATGCAACTAGTACTTTTGTAGACTGAAAGGGTCTGCTCGAACGACCAAAGCTGCGCTCGAGCAGAGAGCCCTGTTTCAAAAATTTTGAAAAAACATTTTATGTTTCGTTTTCCGTTCTCTTTCATTTCTAAGCACCCTTAGGCATGCATTGAGTACGCTAAATGAATTAAAGAGCATGAAAGAAGCCTAAGAACATTAAGCAAATTAAGGAACGGATTGAATTGTATTATGACCCAATGTGTTATGAATTATGTAGGGTCAAGTGCAAGGACGAATCAAGCACCGGAACACAGTGAGTAATACTTTAGTAAAGACATGTTCGTATATGCTATGTTTTTTTTGTTTTGTTTAATACCACTCATGTGTAAGTGTTTTGGACTTGTGAATTTGAATTATGGATGAGTATTCTTCTCGGCTGATTGTGCAAGATTGTAATGAAGTTGATAAGTATGAAATCATCTGAATGGACCAAAGGTCGTTTTGAATGAATATGTGATGGGCCTTAAGGCCATCCTATATATTTGATTATATGGACCATAGGTTGTTCTGAATGTA